CCCTGGGTCCATGAATGTCCTGGAGAGGAGATGGATCCAATGTCAGGCTGGGAGAGCTGGGAATGTTCCCTGGAGAAGGGAAGGATGCAGGGAGAGCTTCCAGCACATTCCAGGGGCTCCAGGAGAGCTGCAGAGGGACTGGGGACAAGGGACAGGAGCCAGGGAATGGCTGCCAGTGCCAGAGGGCAGCCATGGATGGGATCTTGGCCATGAGGAATTGCTGGCTGGGCTGGAATTGCCAGAGCAGCTGGGGCTGCCCCTGATCCCTGCAGTGCCCAGGGCCAGGCTGGACACTGGGGCTGGACATTGGGACAGTGGGCAGGTGTCCAGGAGTTGGAACTGGATGGGCTTTAAAGTCCCTTTAAAGTCCCTTTCCCAGCCAAACCCTTCTGGTTGTGTGACCCCTCCTCACCTGCTGCAATCCCTAGGGAATGGGGAGCTGAGCCCCTGCTCACTCCCAGCTTTTCCAGGCTCTCCACAGCTCTCAAAGCTGCAAATAAATCACCCAAACAGATGCTGCAATTCACATTTTATTAAGTTAAACAATCAAACCTCTCAGCCTCTACAGAGTTTGACTCTGCTCCAAACAACACCAAGAGTCCAAATCCACAAAAATCCATCGAGATGGTGGGAAAGTACATCCAGTCCTTGCTTTGATTCCTTGGATTTGGAGGATCTCAAACAACTCAAGGCAGTTTTATCCAACAGTTCACCAGGAGGTTTTCATGCAGCACGGAGCAGCCAGGGACTCTGGATCTGTCTCCCACAGCAAAAACCAGGATTTTAGCCAATGCAGTGACACTGCCAAGAGCTCATGGAGCTGGAAAAATCTACTCCCACAGCAGCAGGACCTTATCAGGCTGAAACTGCCAGCCCTGCAATCAGCATGGTGTGGTTTCACACTCAGAGACACAACAAAAGATAAATGTGCTCAGGGATGTTGACTCCTCATCTCCCAAACAGGAAATTAAATGTCATTTATCCTACTTTTTGTCCTTGCACCAGAATTATCCCAAAATCACCAGTGAGTTTTGGGATGTGTTGAAGATTGTCTGCTTCAAAAACAGGGGGAAAAAAACAAATCTAAAAATACACACAGGCCCCACAAGACCATGATAACCAAAGCAGGACCAGGCTCAGCAATGCCAGATGGAAAATCTGGAGAGCAGAATCCCTCCAAAATCACCTCCCAAGTGTCCCACAGGCAGCTCAGGAAAATCAGGGGATTCCCAGGTTGTCCAGAAGCACCAATCTGAGGAAACTCTGCTACTCACTTTCCTGGAAACCTTCACCTTGTTCAGTTCTGATTGCAGGGCCCTGCTGGGTTTTAGGGACCCTGGTGAGGCAGCAGCAGCACATTTTCCTTCAACCACCCTAAAACTTAAAGAAACTCCTAAAAAAACACTGGCAAAGGAGTCATTGGGAAAAAAAAATTCCAGTTTTTCTCCTCCAGCTCACCTTGAAAAAGACACAACCATTCACAAAGTGTCCATGAGCAAGCATGACTGTCACAGCACCAACTGGGCAATAAAAAACATCTTTATTACAAATACTTCTGTTCATTATCATAATTTATTTTTAAAAAACCCAACAAACAACCCTTCCAGGATCTTCCCTCACTTTTGGCAGGTTGCTGAATGTCTTTATCTCTGCTAAAACCACCAAAGTTCGTGCTCACAGATGATTTGTGGCCTGTTCACCCTCACAGCTCCAGGCGTGGCCCAGGAATTCATGGACACCAATTCCTCCAGCTGGACTAAAAACTTGGTGGAACAGTTTCTACTGGTGCCAGCCTTGACTAGGAGTTTTCTCCCTGCCCTACAAAACCAGTTCTATCAGCTCTGTCCTGCCCTGCACCCCGAGTGCTGCCATTCCTGCTCCTAGGAAACACCACCCCAGCTGCCCAGCCTTACCAGGGCTGCTCTTCCCTGCCGACTCCTAAAACCACCAAGGGGCTGCAGTGCTCAGGATTCCCAAAGCCTGCACACTCCTTTACTTCCAGGGCCTGCTCTGGGTGCTGGTCCTGCTGTGGGCGCGGCTGCTCAGGGGTCCCACGGTGCGAGCAGTGCTGGGCAGGCTGGGGTTGCTCCTCAGGGATGAGAGCTTGGAATCGCGGCCTGAAAGACCCCGGCTGAGGCGGCCTGTGGGGAGAACAACCCCAAATCACAAACTGCCTGTCCACGCCTTGCGGCTGCCCCGTCCCTGCATGTGTCCAGCCAGGCGGGATGGGCTTGGAGCAGCCTGGGATAGGGGAGGGTGTCCCTGCCCATGGTGGGATGGATGGGGTTCAAGGTCCCTTCCCAACCGTTCCATGATGAGGCTGAAGCACGTTCTGGTGATGCCTTAGAGTTTTAGCTTTTATATTTTTCAAACCCTGCACTGCATTAGTGTCACAGGTGAGACAGCCATGGTACCTAGAGTGTCACCACACAGCATCAGAAAGCTTCAACCCACACAGAGTGACACCACCCCACCTCAGAAGGCTGCCAGCATCCACCCTTGTTCTCTAGCCCAGCTTTTCATCCCCTCATGCTCACACACTGCCCCTGTGGGCCCTCTGCTCCCTGCTCAGCACCCCTGGGCACTCCATGGCTCATCACCTGCTGCTCACAGCTGTGCCCTGGGGATGGGGCTGGGGCAGCCCCACTGCCAATTACCTCAAACTCTGTCCCTACACCTTCCCAGCCAACCATTCCATGATGAGGTTGAAGCACGTTCTGGTGACGCCTTAGAGTTTTAGCTTTTATATTTTTCAAACCCTGTACTGCATTAGTGCATGACTGAACTCCACATAGAAGGTAATTAAATTCATCTGGCCTTAATGTACCTGAAGATCTTTCATTAAATATATCCCCTTTTATTCTTTTAACTTTGCCTCGATGCCTTGTGAAGGCTGAGCTAGAAGAGAGATTAGACAGAGCTCATCAGCTCTGCTCCATGTGCACATTGCAGTTCATGTCCAACCCCAGTGCAGCCCCTGCACTCCCATCCTGCTTGTTTGAAACATTTCAGATTTTTTTTATTTTTGTTTTTTGCAGGGGGTTTTGGTCTTTTTTATAGGTTGTATTTTTATTTTTTTTTTACTTAGATGCAGCTGGGCAGGGGAGCAGGTCAGATCAACTTACTGGCTAGACTTAAAGGAGTGTTTTTTAGGGAATCTTTTGCTTTTAACTCCTGTGTGTTCTCAGAGGTGTATTTAGGTTTTTAGTGGTTACATTAGGTGTTAATTTTTAAATTTGGGGTTTGATTGGTTTGACCACAATTTTTTTAGAAACTTATTTTTTAGTCAAACCACAACATTTTGCTCTTTGCCTCTGAGAACACAGAGGTGTTTGTGCTCCTGGGCTGGCATTGGGATCATTTGTCCTTGGTGCCCAGCTCAGCAGGAATTGTTTTGTCTCCCTGCTCTGTGCACAGAGCTCCCCATCCCATAATGTGAGCCCAGACCCACACCCCAAAGCAGCTCAGAATGTGAAAAATACAAAACTCAAACCCTGAGCTATCAGCCTGGCCCTGTGTTTCTAGGCAAGCCCAAAAAGGCAGCACTGGACTCTTACTGGCAGTGTCTGAAGGAATCTGCTCCTCGGCCAGGTAATGCCTTAACTTCTGCAGATCCTCTGCAGAAAACCTCCATTTGTTCTCTGCAGGCGTGGGGGGCACCCTGGGGGCTGCTCTCCTCCGGGCAGTTCCTGGGGGAGCTGCCACCTGGCAGGACATGGGCAGCGTGCCGGTGATCAGCCCCTCTGGGATCTTCTGGGCAAGGACCTTGAGGCCTGCAGGGACACAGAGCAGCTGTCACCCCAGCTGGATGGCTCAGGAGGGATTCATGGAGCTGGGGGTCCAAATTTGGGTGGAGAAATGTGGGTGGCAGGAGAGAGGGGGACTCTGCCCCTGTGCCCTGCTCAGGTGGGATCCCACATGGAGTCCAACTCTGGGACAATGGCAGGAGGATGTGGAGGTGATGCAGAAGGGAAGGGTGCAGGGAGAGCTTCCAGCACATGGCAGGGGCTCCAGGAGAGCTGCAGAGGGACTGGGGACAAGGGACAGGAGCCAGGGAATGGCTGCCAGTGCCAG